CTCTGCAAAAGCGACTTGCGCATTTCTTACTTTTTTGAAACAATGAAGAAATTCAATTAAATTAACACTTTTAGAGAAAATTGCATATTGATATCTTTGCAGGGCAGGTCACTTAGAATTTCTTTTACAGTCCCTTTAAAATAACTGATTACTCTTCTTAATCCCTAATTTTATAATCACAATTTCTTTAAAAACTTGGGCTAATGATGTAAACCTTTGATATTTTAAACTTTGAACATTTGAACTTTGAACATTTGAATGAATTAGGAAGTTAGAGTTCGAGTCGAGAAATTTATTTTAAATTATTGATTACAATATGTCAAATGTCAATAATCATAAAATTTGTAGCTGAGAATTTATGGAAAAAATTAAAAATTCCATTTTCTAGGTTGCCACAGCAGGAGAGAAAGTCAAGTTACATTGTACGTCTGAATCCAGCAATCCAGCTCCAAGATTCCATTGGATAAAGGGCGGAGTACAGGTAATCCAGCTCCAAGATTCCATTGGATAAAGGACGGAGTACAGGTAATCCAGCTCCAAGATTTCATTTGATAAAGGACGGAGTACAGGTAATCAAGCTCCAAGATTCCATTGGATAAAGGACGGAGTGCAGGTAATCCAGCTCCAAGATTCCACTGGATAAAGAGCGGAGTACAGGTAATCCAGCTCCAAGACTCCATTGGATAAAGGACGGAGTGCAGGTAATCAAGCTCCAAGGTTCCATTGGATGAAGGACAGAGTACAGCTAATCCAGCTCCAAGATTCCATTGGATAAAGGACGGAGTGCAGGTAATGCAGCTCCAAGATTCTGTTGGATAAAGGATGGAGTGCAGGTAATGCAGCTCCAAGATTCTGTTGGATAAAGGACGGAGTGAAGGTAATCCAGCTCCAAGATTCCATTGGATAAAGGGCGGAGTACAGGTAATCCAGCTCCAAGATTCCATTGGATAAAGGACGGAGTGCAGGTAATCCAGCTCCAAGATTCTGATAGATAAAGGACGGAGTACAGGTAATCCAACTCCAAGACTCCATTAGATAAAGGACGGAGTGCAGGTAATCCAGCTCCAGAATGTCATCTTTTTTTTGGCCATTTCAAACTTCAAGAAATTTTCACAAATGAATATTTTTTTCTTAATGGAATGTATTAATTTGATGTTTCTAATTTAATTGAAATGATTTTTAGGACATTTTGCTGTGGGCTGATGTTATTGTTTTTCATATTTTCCTCTGTAAACACTTTTCGTTGAAAATTTGTGTAAATTTGAATTCTAGGAAGCATAAATAAAACAAATTCAACATTTTTAGCTTGGGCTTGAAATATAGAAATGTGTGCCCGGACCAGATATTCTTGAATTTTATTTCTCAAGTTTTGAATAGTTNTTTAGATCACCCTTTAACAACCATATCAAATTCTTATGTTTAGGTCCTAAACGGTGTAGCAGGTGACGAAGGCCCTGGGAAAAATGGTGGGAAAATTAGTTCTTATATTTATCAAATCAACAACGGGGAACCAGTCAGGTAAAATTTAGCTATGCAAAAAAAAGTTTTTGTTAAAACAAGCGCAGAAGCTTCCCTCGGATTTTATAAAATTGAACTTGAAGTGTATCTAACCTTTATCTAACTTTCCGTTTTCATTTGACAATTTTTTATATTAAAATGTTTCTTGAAAGTTTAAATTATTCGGTATAGAAGTCACTAATATAAAGTGAAATTAACATTCTGTCTACTATATAGATTTAAAGGAATTCATTGCAAAATATCAAACAGAACTATTTTCGAAGCCAAAAATTGATAAGGTGAAATTGTTTTAGAGAAATGAATGATTTTAACACCAATAAAATCACTGATATAAAAGAGTGTAAGCAAGTAAAAAGAAATTATCAAACAACCCCATGTAATCCGAAATTGCTTCCATTTTGTTCGAATTTATTAACAGAATTTTAAGGGTATCTCACACCTTTTTATATCTCTACCATTCTGTTCAAACAGATGTTTGTATGTTCTAAAACCCTCGGTAATTCGATTATCAGATGTGTTCTTATAGTGTTAATAAATAATAATAAATGAGAAAGTAAGAGAGAATTAAAAGATTGATAGGATACTTCTCTAGAGATAGGCATGGTTTTATTTATTATTTTTTTTATTCACAACTTTGACACAAATTAAACATTTCTATAAATCCCTATATCTTTTTAACCCTATTCTGTAAACCTTTGATATTTCTGACTTAGTTTATTTGTTCTAACAGAGTTTATTGTTTGGAATATCTAAGGTTTACGAACTTGTGTTGCAAAGATATGGGGATTATAAATCAGAGTTTGTGACAAAGACTCAATTCCTTTAAGTTTCTGACTATTTAGAGTATCTATGAAATTTTTATTAGATGTACAGTCATAACCAGAAAACTCTGGAATATGAAGACGACTTTTAAACTCACTTTGTGACTTTAAATAGTGGAATGAACAAGAGACACCACAATTGTGCGGTGTAAAAAGGCCCAATTCACTTAATAATTGATTCAAAAAGTTACTAGTAAAATCACTTGCTTTTTAACCACATCAAATACAGTTAATTATTGTTTTAATGTCGTTTTCCTATTCCACAGTTTTCTGGTTATCACTGTACATAATTTAGGTTTGCTTTATTTACATTGAGCAAAAGTTCCATTATGACAAAATATTATAATATTAACCAATACGGTTAAAAATAACTTTTATATTCATTTTAGCGTTTTGTGAGAATAAAAAAGATGCACATTGTAATATGAGAAAACATAAATAGTCTGCAATTTTAGAATATTGTAAATATCTGAAATTCATCTCTTAATAGTAAGAGAATATAAATGTTTAAAAACTAAATAAACGTTGTCCATCCCTAGCTACTGCTAGCGTGATAGTGCCAAGTCTCCAAGGAAAATGGTTCCCGGTAAATACATAAATATATATATATATTATACCTTTATACATATACATTTATTATTATCATTATTATTTATTATATTCTATAATTTTCTAATCTTAATTCTGATGGCATTAGTAAAAAATCATAGATCCCCAGTCTCCACAAGACAAAAGGAGACGGTCAAATAATGCTACATTACTGGCACAATATTGTAACCNCGTGTACCCCTTCACCGATTTTTCTTAAACTCTTAGTTTGGTTTTACAATTCTTAGAAGTTGACTTTTCGAGAAAAATTTTGTTTCCAGGCAAAGCTGGGTTTCCAAGCTTGTCTTTATAAACAGACGATTAAAAATTGTTCTCAAAAAAGTCAATTAATTAAATAAAACCTCCCATAGAATAGTATTTATGTCAACTCCAAAAATTGTTTTAATTGATATTTTTAGGATCAAATTGAGTTTTTCATTGAATGGGAAAATCTAAGTTTGATTTAAAATAATTTATTTTATAAGTTTGGCTAATTCCAATTCATTTCTAATATCGATTTGATCTTGGTGTTTTTGTTTTGTTTTTAAAGCTATAGAGTTAAACTTTTTGTTCAGGTTACACGTCAAGATAATCAAGTGGAGTACAGCTGTCAGGCGAGCAATGGGGTCAACTTTGTGCCTGCAGTTCAAAAAGAAAACTTTACGGTAAAAAAGTGTTGTCATTTAACAAAGATTAGTTGAGGACAATGACCTAAAAAATGGCATTAATGCACGTTATATTAATATTTTGTTTCATGAAATAGAAGTTTTTTTTTTAAATTTTGGTAAAATGAATTTCGAATTGAAGTTTGCAAATGCTTAAACTAAAATAATGAAATTATAAGATTATGTAGATAATTACTGCAGTTTATAATCTACTTTGTTCTTGGGAATTTCATTTTATTTCTAACTCAATTTTCCCATGTTAAGAATAATTCTAACTAACTAATATACAAAATAGTAGACTAAATCATAACTTAGATTCTGTAATTTGAAGATATCTAATCGTTTTTAGATTAAATTTCTCGAGATTTTTGGAAAGAATAATTTTAGAATAATAATGTGGTGTATAATTGATGCACATGAACAAATACCAATTGATGGAAAATCAATAATTTTGAATTTAAAACAATTTTTTTACGATGTTGTAAATTCAACTAACTAACCAAGTAATATTAGTCAAAACTTTTTGTGCACTCTCAGTTACCGGAGGAATAAAATGTTCACTGAAGAGGTTTTGGAAAATCACTAATTACAAGTTGAAACTTTCCGCAGGGTGATTTACAATAGTTCCACTGGAGAGATTCATATATCCTTCCTAGATAGATATCTGAATCCCTCCACAGGAATTTTAAATCCCCAGGAAGGATATCTGAATCCCTCCAGTGGAATTGTAAACCTCCTGGATGGATATCTAAATCCTTTTAGTAAAATTATATAACCCCTGGATAGATATCTGAATCTCTCCAGTGGAATTATAATCCCCCTGGATGGTTATCTGAATCCCTCTAGTGGAATTGTAAAACCCCTGAGATGGAATTTAAAGAATTTGAGCCGCGGTTTAAATCCGCCAAAACCCGGTTTAAATTAAGCGCCAGCTTAAATCTTGAAACATTTGATAGAATTTTATGTGGAACCAACCATATTTAAACCGCGGCTTAAATTTAAACCGCCGCTCAAATTCTTTAAATTCGGCCACTGGAAAGATATCTAAACCCCTCCAGTGGAATTAAAACCTCCATGGAAGGGTATCTAAATCCCTCTAGTGGAAACTAAAACACCTTGCGTAAAGTTTTAAATTGTAAAAAGCTATTTTTTAAAGCCCTTAAGTGACAATGAATTTCCTCAGCTGGTCTCCATGCAGTGGAGTTGATATGATGACTAATATTACATACAATATATGTTTTATTCACAACGTTACTCTTCAAACCTTTTTTAATGTCTAAGTAAAAATGATTGAGTTTACCTCTGTCCTCTATCTTAAAATTGAATGTTTTCCATTACAGTTCTTATTTATGAAGCAGGGGATAGAGAAGAAATTTTAAAATTCAACACCCTTTAAATAAAATATTCAGATAAACCTGAGTTTGGAGATATCCCGCTAGTTTACCGAGTACGAGAAGGAGAAGATCTAAATCTTGACTTTCAGGAAAATATTTTTGATTGCATTTAATTTTTCTACTTATTCACATTTTACAGCTGGAGTGTTCAGGAATAGATCAAACTTTTTCATAAAGTAAATAAGTTTAGCATTAAAAAATTAAAAAGCAGGTTTTTTAGTGAAAAAAAACCCGCTGTTTTAATCCTATTGCTATCTGGAAAGTAATATTATAAAGATACAGAGGGAAAACACATAACTACTGTACACCCCCTTTTTTATACTGTTTTATACTGTACATTGGTTAAATACAAATCATGGTAATTAAGTCATTAATGATATTCAGATTCATGCAAACAAAAATTATTTAAAATTCAGGCAAAGGCGTACCCAGAGTTCATTGAGTACACATGGTTGAACCGAATGGTAAGAATTCTTTAAAATTTTAAAATTACTCCGTGAACTTTAAAAAAATGAAATTTTTAGCTTTTAAAAAAATCGATGCTCTTAACTCTGTCTTGAATTTTTTTGCTTAAAAATTTCTTTCCTGTTTAAACATTCATTTAAAAAAAAAACATAAAATCTAAGGAAAGAAAGTATTTTCAAGGGTGGTAAATCGTTTTTCTAGAAAAAATATCCTTAAATAAGTTCCTAGAATAGGTCTAGGTCTAACTAGACTCATAAGGCATTTATCTTGGCTTAAAATTTCTATAATTTTGTTGCTTCATTAATTCATTATTATTTTTTCTTTAGAACTTTCATAGACGACGTTTTGACATAGAGGGTAGTAGATTAAGCATAAGGTATGTGTACTTTGTTGATAAAAGTCCAAATTATGATGTTGAATAAAATATATATTCTTTAGTTCTTTTATCCTAAAATTAAATGAATGTTTCTAAATCATAAGTTAAAGAATATATTACTTATCTGCAGTCAAAAGACGAAAATTTTCTTGAAAAAGAAATTTTTTATTATTATCATTACTCATAATTCATTTGTGAACTTTTGATAAGGTCAAAAGAATGTGAACTCTTTTCGTTTTTTCGATTTGTTAATTATTGTTTATTTTAACCAAAGAAGGAAAAAAAGTCAATCCTTTTTCTGTTGTGGTCGAAGTGTGGATTTAGAATGGTTTATGTAACATCAGGCAGTAGGTATAAAATCCTTAGGTTTTTNGGGGGACCCCCCCCCCCCTAGAAATTCCCTGAATTCAATTCAAATTGTATTGTTAGTAATAATTGTGTGAATTATGAGAGGATAAAGTTTGGAGAAACTAAGATAGATATTCCTCCAACTTTGTTTACGATTTGTACCTCAATACAACCAATATTAGTTTACTTCATTACTCAATGCGATCTTCTTGCTTGGAGTGAAATCTTTGATAAAAATAATTTTCTCTTTAATATCAGAAAGTTCAAAATTATCTCGATAATATTTATATCTCATCACTTAATAAATAATAATTTTTAACGTTATGTTCGTATTGCCTTGGGTTCTCTCGTCCTTGTTTAGGACCCAACTTAGCCAAGTAGAGGTACGCCTAGTCAATAAAATTTGTCTAGGTGGGAGCTTAATTTTTTTTCTTTCCAGGGGGCTCTGCTCCTGTTGGGGCATAAACACTCATGGAAACCTACCATAGATTGTACTGATCCCCCTGTGTACGCATATCTGCACCTTTTGTTTTCTATGGTTTGAATTGGAACTTTGATGTTCGATATCTCAAAAGAGCCGATTTTTTTTATTAAGAGTCAAAGCAACTGTTTTTGTACTTTCCTGTGGCCTTCAATTGACAGCATTTCATACCCTATTTACATTTGATACACTTTAACCCTTATCAGTCTTGAAAAGTATAAATTATCTCAATGCATTACTTTCCTGTATTGCATAAATCCACAATTGAAATTAATCACATTTCTAATATAAAAACAAGGATAGAGATCTTTTGTTTTACTGGATCAAAGGTTGACAGGCCACCATCAAATTACGGCAAGAAAGAATCACTTTACACCGAATAAGTATTCTGTTGCACTATTCCTCCTTAGCTTTTAGCTATGAATCATTTGCTCTGTACGTATGTGTACTATACTTGCTTAGACCTATGTAACCCAATGATATCTTGTAATAAAAGTGCTTATATCAAATTCTTCATAATACAATCTTCATAATCTTCAGTAATGCTTTCTTTTGTATAATTCATTGAATTCGGACTCTGAATTCAGAGTTTGAAATATCTAAGGTCTACGACAGAAAATCAGAGTTTTTTTTAGCAAAGGCTCAATCTAAAACCTAGATGATTAAGTATAAAAATCAAAATAACTGTTTGCAGGCAAGTTGAGAGAGGGGATGCTGGAACATACCTTCTCTTTGCAAGTAACAATATTGGGAAGACGGAGCTAGCTATTCAGATCATTGTGGAATATCCGGCCAGGTATACAGTGAAACCTATAACGTTTTGGATTAGGAAGACGACTGCTAGAATCAAGTTATTATTCTAAATAGTTCAATGAACATGCAACACAGCAATTGTACAAACTAGTTTCATTTAAATAGTAGTATTTTGCTTTACAACTACATAAAATAAATAAATGATTGCCTTTTTTCTGTTTTCCTATTTCCTAATTTTTTTTTTACTACTATTTACTAAATTAGGTCAATAAATTGTCTATTAACTCATGTCTAAATATTGATAACCGACTGATTGATTAATCAATGATAAGAAGCGTTTTAATATTTAATCTATATTTTTGTGTAATAATACATCTTTGTAATTTTAATGTTTAAATATTAAAATCATATTTTTCACTTGTCTTAACTTTCGAAAATTTATATTCATATATTCAGAAAATAACGTTTTATAGGTAGTCGATTTAGATTGGTTCATGTCTGTTCAATTTGTTCATAAATCATGACACAAGGATCATTTTTGGGAATTATTTTTTTACGTATTCCAGCCGATAAACAAATATTTATTTTGTCTGGCCTTCGGCAAAATTTAGCTTTTTACCTTACTTAATATACTTTCTTACACACAAGTTAGTTGTGTAAAGTTTGAACCATAAATCAGTGGAATTATAGTCGTCTTTGTCCTTTTTTCGTTTGTTTGGTAATGTTAAAGGATTTTTATTTTTATTTATTTTTAATTTTTATAGGCAAAACTGTTAATTTTTTATTTTTTCTTCCTAGAGGGGGGGGGGAGAACTAAGCACCCGTTGGGACATAAAAATCCTCTGGAAACCAAAGATTTAACTGATTCAAGGTGGGGGGGAATTGAACCCCCAGAGCCCCCCCCCCTGTGTATTCATCGTAACTATTGTTTTTTCTTGTTTGAGCTGAAACTTTAATGTTCGATCTCTCGACAGTGCCTGATTGTTTTGGATTAAGGATAGCTTGATCTGTAATTGTTATAGCTGTTAGAAATAATCCTACTAATCAAATATAAATCAATCAATACGTCCTAAACCAAAGGAATTGAGTATTTGCCTGAAACTTTAAATTCTTTTAGATCAAAGAGTCTAAGTTTGAAATATCAAAAACCATCAGGTTGCAAAGATATAGGCATGAGACCTTGAGTTTGTGGCAAATACACAATTCTATAGCATTAGGTATAGACGCCTTTACTTCACTGTTTTTGGTTTCCACTGTACATTTATTTTAGAAAAACTCGTCAGACGAAAACTGAATCCTTCCATTCAAAAGTTTTGACCTCAGGTTTGATAAATATTTTGTTTAGAATTGTTGCTGTTAGCTCAGGTATAGAGGCAAAGGAGGGAGAAACTGTTAAGTTCTTGTGCAAGGAAAATGAACACTTGAAAAACAAAATTAATTATCACTTCCTTTTAAACTTTTTTTTTACTTTTCCATTAAAAATTGAACACCATCAAAGTCAGAACATATTGCAAAAAAGTTTTATTTTTTAAAATCCGCATTTCTGTACCCTGTGGCACTGGCATCTATGAATTTAATTGGTCATCTTACCCTAAAATTCTAAAATTTACATTTATGGCATAGAATAGGAATTTTCAGAAAATGTTAATTGATTTTTCCAACTTTTGAACAAATCTATTACAGCTTTGAAATTCACGGCGCACCCCCCCATAGATATTCCTCCAACTTTGTTTACGATTTGTACCTCAATACAACCAATATTAGTTTACTTCATTACTCAATGTGATATATGTATCTGTTCAATTTATGACAAAAGGGTTTACCACAAAACATGGACGTCGAAATCGAGAGACATTTGAACGATCGTTTTTGATCTTTGAAATAATTTTCTCCATTCATGTTTCAGCCTAGATTTCCAAAATGTGGTCTGCCTTTATTGGCCTTTCAAAATGAAATTTTTGCTTAAAATACAATATGGTTTAAGAAAAATTGAAATCCGAACGAAATTCGTCTTAGCTTTCTTACTCTTTAAAACACAGGAGGGCAGACAGTATTTACATACATGCATGCCGGGAATCATTTCTAGATTAAGGAAGCAAATTCAAGCCGTCTATTTACTGGCATGTATTGGGTACATTATACTTATTTCCTGCATATATAATACAACTAGATCACAAAAGAAAGGGTAATTAAGTATGCATAGAAAAAAAATCAGAAAAGAAAGAATATTATGAGAATAATATGTTAACGATTGCATATTGTAGTGCTGAAGATACAGGGAGCAACTACAGCTGTGTTATTTACAATCCAACAATATCTGGACAACAAATATACAAGAATATTACTCTAGTAGTCAGATGTAAGTAACTACTTTATTCTTAATAAAAGTAATGCAAACATAACATTTTTTAAACAAAATATAGGAATATTTTTCCCTTCGTTTTAAGACATTAAAGGGACAGTAACCGATATTAAAGGTGACTCTCTGCAAGCAAAGATGGCAACAGTACTCTTAAACCTTTGTTTGATGAAGTATTTATTAGATATCCATGTTTTTGTTTCCTTTAACTAATTATTTTCATTTGCGGTTTCTCTGCGAAACCATTTCTTGCTTATATGAAGCAAAAGAGAAATTATTAGAAATAAACACTCTTTGAGTCAGGAAAACTACGGTATCCTAAACATTTTTGATCAGATACAGGATTAAAGGGGTTTTTCGTATTTCATCGCCATCTTTGCATGAAGGGTCACTTGTAATTTCGCTTTGCAGTCCTGTTAAATGTTAAAGTGGGTTTTCATGTTGTGTATTAGTATTACATCTTAAAATTGTTATCTAAGCAATTAAATTCAAATATTTCAAGTCTTTCATTATCTAGCTCAATATTGACTATAAATGAGCATCCTTTTTGTTCGGTTTATATGAATTTGAATGGTTTCTTAATATTCTCAGCTGTTTGCCGTAATTTAAAAAGTTGTATATTTTGATTTTTTTCTTCAAATTACTCCTCTTATAAAGGTTTTAAACTGAAACGATTTGCCTGGACCTAATTGAACCAATTCTCTTGCGTGCCGTTAAAGCTGAAAATAAGTAGTTCAACCACGTCAATGCGGTTCAACTATTTCTCATTGTGTATTTAATCTGGTCACAGACCAATTTATTAAATTTCTAAAAGTTTGCCGAGTAGAAATTTTGCGGGGTCTCAATGTATAAAAATACATGAATGTAAGTTTAACTTATAAATCCTTGATTGATTTTCAAAAGCCATTTGTAGATCAGATAGTTTTATTCACAACGTTACTCTTCAAACCTTTTTTAATGTCTAAGTAAAAATGATTGAGTTTACCTCTGTCCTCTATCTTAAAATTGAATTTAAAATATCTAAGATCTACGACATTGGAATCCAAAGATATAGGGTTTAGAAAAGCAGAGTTTGTGGCAAAAACTCAATTCCTTTGTAAATAAAATCATGAAAAGGTGGTTGTAGATATATAAAGCTCTTGAAAAGGATGACAAAAAAAATACGTAAAAAGTAGACAACTTAGAAGTTCAGCGTTTGTGTTCACAAGGGGATAACAATTTTAGCTGGTCTCACTTTTAATGCAGTATGCACTTTGTGCCCCCTTAATTTGTTTTTGCCCTAGTACTCTCATTTTTGACATGATTTTTTTTGACTTTTCAGAAATTGTAATTAAAGGATGTTTAGAATATTTTTTAATGCATATGGTAGGGTACAAGATAGCCTATAGATAGATTTACCCCCCGCCCCCCCGGGTGATATAGGTGAAAGGGAATATTTGTCAACTGTTTTTTCCTTTTATTTAAAGGAGGGGAATTCCAGAGTTGGGCAAAATTGTCACATATTTTGTTTCATGTTATAAATTAAAAATAATTCAGAAATTCGTTTTTAAATGAAAAGATGAATTAAAATAATAGAAAGTGTTAAAACAATTTTAAAAAATAAATAACCAAGAGTTAAATTTTAAGGTGTGTTCTTTTTTATCATCGTTTACCCAACAATTGTAGTGTTACAAGAACAAAATATGTAGTTCGCAATTTTAAACTGATTAATCACCACAACATATAATCTTGGCAACCTGATGATGTCATGGACCTCTGATATTTTGATTTATGAATTCTCTTAGATCAAAACTCATAGTTTTACACCATCTGGTTTCAAATATTATACAAATATTTATAAAATTCTAGTTTGTTGCAAGTAATCAGTTTCATAAATAGAATATGATTGGCATTAAAAAAATTTGTCAAATAAAAGTCAAATATCAAACCAAAAGCTCCCATTATATTTAATTAAAACTTTTTTAATTTTCTGAGAATTTTTCAATTGAAACCTAATATTTTATTAAAACTAAAATCAAATTTAAAATAATATTTCTCTAAAATGGAATTGATTTTTGATAAGAAATATGAAAATTTTCCTGTTATGAGAGAGTCAGTAATCCGTTAAAAGAAGTGAAAATTAAACATAAAACGGCAATAAAAAAATATAAGGAATTAATCTTTAAACTAAAAAAAACAGCAAACATTTTGTAAAAATTTAGGAATTGCTTAATTTTTTTAAATTACGTACAAAATGTACAGTTAATGTTCAAAATGTAATTGAAGTGTCATTGTTAGGTTGATGGCAATCCCATAACAAACTCCACAGTCAGGTTAATATGAGAAAATACAAATATAAATTTAGCCAAAAGAAAAAAATATTTTGTTATTTGGGATGGAATAANATAAAAAAGTTTTAATTTGTAACACATTAAAAATTTTTGTTTTTTAATAATGAAGATTTAATAACATAATGAGAAAAAAATTGTTCCAAAAATAAAACAAATTTTACGCAGCATGAATATTGAATATATATGATATTATTATATAACAAATGACTTTGTTCTCTTAAATCAGGTGGATTGGACCTCAAGGCCCTGGCAAAATGCTTCAAAAGTTTGTTACCTTCGACGAAAACTCAACGTTTACCCTGACTATACCATCAGTCGACAAGGAAACAGATATATATACTTTTTCAAGATTCATTTCATTTATCACTCTTTTAAACAATTCCTTAGAAAGTCCAGGACTTCAAATTTTAGATTTTGTTAAGAGCATGGTTACTTAAAAAGTCTTTTTAAGAGTATTATCCTAATTATAAAATCTAATTAACATCCTTAATCAGACACAGATTTGCCAATCTTGGATATTAGGCTTACAGTCCCTTTAAAATCTTTTGTGGTTTTGTGAATAACCCTAGTTTTAAGAAGATAATGATGATATCTGAAATGGCTAGACGGATAGAGGCCAGTATAGATGTATAGCTGATAACGGTGTACATGATGGGGCTCTTCCTGGCAGAGACACTCAACTTCAAGTACATTGTAAGAGTTAAAATGATTATATTCAAGGTTAGAAGAATATGGTTTGCGCAAATTTTATCGTGACATATATATTATGACTGCTCAGAAACTGGGTTTAGAAAAAAATATATTATTAAACTTATCATTACAAAAATCAGACCGTACCCAGAAAATGTATGATCTTTGTTTACAATCTTTGTTAAATTGTTCGTTATACGTCATAGTAAAATGTGTGTAAAATCCCAATTCTTATTAACCTTTAGTTTGTCAAAAGAGTTGAGTCTTTGCCACAAACTTGAATATTCCATTCCCTTTATCTTTGCAACCTTGCGGTGTAAACCTTTGATATTTCAAACTTAGATTACATGATCTAACAGAGTTTATAGTAAGAAATATCTAAGGTTTACGACAATGGGTTGGAAAGATAGATGTATTAAAATATCAGAGTTTGTGGGGAAACTCAATTCCAAATGTGTAAAAGAATTGAGTCTTTGCCACAAACTCTGAATTTATAATCCCTTTATCTTAGGAACTCAATGTTGTAAATCTTTGATATTTCAAACTTATATTATTTGATCTAACAGAATTCATAGTTTAAATTTAAAATATCTAAGATCTACGACATTGGAATCCAAAGATATAGGGTTTAGAAAAGCAGAGTTTGTGGCAAAAACTCAATTCCTTTGTAAATAAAATAATGAAAGGTGTTTGTAGATATATAAAGCTCTCAAAAAAAAAACGTAAAAAGTAGAAAACTTAAGAGGTTCAGCGTTTGTGTTCACAAGGGGATAACAATTTTAGCTGGTCTCACTTTTAATGCAGTATGCGCTTTGTGCATCTGAGGCTTTAATTGGGATACCTAACAAACTTTCCCAATTTGACTTTGGTTTAGCTTACTTAGCCCCCACTGTAAATAATTATACTAAAATAAGCTAAAAATACTACTATTTAAATTTCAAACAAGAATTACAAGTGCTATAATTTTTGGACACTGAATTGTTGGATCAAGATTGTGTAATACATTATACAATTTACAGTTGGCTTGGGAAAAACAAGTTTAGAATGAAAACTAACGATATTAGTTTTGGTAAAACTTCTTATTTGAAAACTTTTATGTTTCTCATGCATTAAAGATTTACGTCTTTAATTCTTTTCATCTTTTCTAACCTTGACTTTTTCTTGCTTGACTTTTACATTACAACATTTTTAAACTTTTCAGCCTTAAATAGGTTCTCCCCTACATTGTAACATTTATCAAGAGTAAAATAAGAATATAAAATATGAAAATAGCAACAAATCATTCATAATTGTTTTTTAGTTAACTATTATTCACCTTTATATCAATTTTCAAAACATCTACATCAAACATGTAAGTACTTTTTTCATGATTAAGCTACGGATTTATAATTTAAATATTCAATTAGCCCTTGAAAACAAACTTCCTCAAGCTACTGTCTCTAACCTCTAATTTGATTTAAAGAATCAAGAAAACTTTGGTGTCGTCTTTATATTCTAACTAGGTTTGGTTTTCCTTTTGAACAGTATTTAAATTTTCCTAAACTTTAAATCTGATTAATTGAGCATACAAGGCCTTGAAGCCTTCATGGGATTAAGAGATTTTATTTATTTGTTTTGTTTCAGTTCGTCCAGAAATACGCAAGTTTTCCCGATTTAGCAAATTCTCTGAAAACCGAATGTTTCCAACCAAAATTCCCTGCTATGCTTACGGATATCCAGAAGTCAGGTAATAATAATCCTTTTTTATTTATTTCAGGTTTAGGGGACTTCCTTGTTATTTTAAGTGATCTTCCACTAAAGGGAGTGTTCGTAACTGACATTTCAAGTGATCTTCCACTTAAAGGGAGTGTTCGCAACTGACAAACATTTATCTGACAAATAATTTGGAAAACATCGTCGTTTCTCAACTCTTGTTTGATTCTGATAATTTTCTCTCATTGTATCTGCAGAAGAAATTGCAAGCCACGGTTGTAGAGAAACATAGAAGTTGGTACAATTTACAAGGGTTATCGTTTTAAAGTGGACATGTCACTTTCATATAGCAGAGCTTCTTGAAAATAAAACTATTAGGCCTATTAAAGGAAATCGATTACGAGTACCGATAAGGGGTATACCTTTTTCTTTAATGTTTCAACAGCCAAAAAGTGTTCTTCTAGAAGTCTAAGCTGTGTTAACAAAATGTATATATACACATAAAAAATGGGCATACCAATGAGGTTTGATAAAAACAAAGTGAAAACAAATTCACTTTTAAAAGTAAGAACTAAAATTTCGATGGGGATGATAAATAAACCTTAGCTTAAAAATAATATTTAAAATGTAATTTGGAACAATGTTAATAAATCTAAGTTTTATTCTAATAAAATTTCAATTGTCAAATATATATTAACTAGCTCTGGAACCCAGCGTTGCCTGGAAGCTATAGTTTTTCTATTAAAGTCACCTTAATAAACTTAGAATTTTTAAACCAACCTGAGACAATTCTAATGTAGAGTTTTAACAATTAAAATTTGAGGTAAATCGGTAATGTTTTAACTAAAAGCCAACATTTTGTTTTTCTTCTCCAATAACTAGTGTAAATATTTATCTTCATCTTGTATACATAATATATTAACTCCATTTATCTATATGCTCTCTTGGCCATCCTTATTCATGGTCTGGGCAAGATTAGGAGAGTTAGGGGGGAAGCAAAGCTACGCATTTCATTGTATCTAAATAATTTAAATTAACAAAAGTGCATTTAAAAAGTATCATAAATTTTGATAAAATTATGATTCATTTCATTTAAACTTGGCTTGTTGGTGTATATCCAGTAAACGTCAAAACAGCTTAACCGATCAGGCCCAAAATTTTATGCATCACCCCAGGGAAGGTTTATGGATGGTTAAAGATGAAAAATGTCGAAATTTATTATATTTGAAATGGGCTGTAAATGAGAAATCATCAAAAATTATTTTCGGAATTTTTCATTGCATGTCTAATGTGATGCATAAACGTTTTTCATTCTCATTTATCTATTGGAATATTCCAGAAGTGTTTTATAATGATTTTTATATAGTGAAATTTGATTTTGTCTTAACTTATTCCAAATTACGGTGTTACTATGGATAAAAATTATTTTTACAAAACAACTGAAAAAAATACAAAACGTGAATTTGTTGTTTTAAACCTGTGCCAATTGTTTTCAGTATTTTCTGGGAAAAGGAGTCCGAAGTAGGGAAACTAACTCCGCAGAGATTCTCATTTCCAGCTGACGGGAAAGCTAAACAGGTATTGAACCAAATTTCAAATATTATGACTTATTTTTAAGAGAAAATAACCCATTTTAAGAAAAATAACCCATTGTAAGAGAAAATCACTCATTTTAAAGAGAAAATAACTATTATTTAAGAGAAAATGACGCACTTAAAGGGGAAATAACTCATTTTAAGAGAAAATAACTAATTTTAAGAGAAAATAACTCATTTTAAGAGAAAATAACTAATATTTAAGAGAAAATCACGCATTTAAAGAGAAAATAACTAATTTTTAAGAGAAAATAAATCATTTTAAGGGAAAAAAAGTATGCTATGGGAAGAATATCAAACCTCTTTTTTTGCTCGTTCACAGATTGTTATCTAATTATTTTGGTATCTAGATTCCTCTAATATTTTGGTATCTAGATTCCTCTAATATTTTGGTATCTAGATTCCTCTAATATTTTGGTATCTAGATTCCTCTAATGTAACTAAAATCAAGCTCAATGAATTGTATAAAAACATAAAAAAATTCATCAAATTGTAAATGAAATTATTAATTTTCCCCACAGAACAAAATATAATTAAAAAGGCTATACCTTCTTGATAAAAATATCTTTTTTAAAATGAATAAAGAAAGAATCCTAGACATATATCAAATTCCCTTAATCCTCTATGCGAAATTCCCCCCCCCCCCATCCCCCGTAATGTATTAGAAAAAATAGTCCAGGATAGGGTTAACAAAACTCTACTTTAAAACTTTATTACAAATTCCCCAATAGGCTTATAGAGTAACTTCCTTGTCTCTTGGTCTCAAGAGAAATTCAGTTCGTTCAAATACTCTCTCTCTAAAGATTCACTTTCAATTACTCGGTAATTGTGCAAAAATCTTCAAAACAATGAATGAAATGTTTTTTATCAATTTTTCTTTCTTTTCATTCAGCTTTTCAATTTCCCAATTTACACTCTCTTACGCCTACAAATTGAATAAGATTATTTTCCTTACAAATATTTTTAAAACTTTAACAGAGTAGTTTAAATCCATGGCAGAAATAATTATGCAAATGTTGACAAATATAAAGATTTTCCGATTGAACAACTTGATATTTGTTTTATTAAGGTTGAAAGTGGAACATGGTTATCTGAGCTTGAAATAAACCCAGTAGAGAATTCAGATTTTACTTTATACAGATGTTCAGTAAACAACAGGAAAACCAAATCTATCATGATCTTAATCAAAACAAGCCATAATTTTTCACCTAAAGCAACCTTTGATATTTAGCAATTTGATCAAGGTAGAATTCATATTTTGAAATATCGAAGGGTGCGAAAATATAGAGATTTATTTTAAACTAACAATACATTTCCATTTTTCAAACTTTACATTCTGTGGGATCAAATGGCCTTATAGTTTGAAAAATATCAAAGGTTAAAAAGCTAGAGATTAGAAAATCAAAGTTTGTGGCAAGTAATCAGATTCTTTGTTGAAAAACATAATGATTTGTTGAATTGAAATTGACGAATTATTTGGTTTTAGTCTGGGTTCAGACAGCCATATTATCCGTATTGTTCATAATAGTGCCCCGGATCCAGTATCCAAGCTAGAGGTTTAACCATGCAAACCATTTAATATCAAAACTCGCAAAATTTTGGAATATACAGAATTTGCATAGAATATCTTAATATTGGAATATTATGGCTCTCTCGCAATACTATATTATTGTTAAAACTTTCAATATCAGAATCTCCATAACAAAAGGAAACGTTTGAAACAGAAAATATTTGAAGGAAAGTATTATGAAAATAAAAATGAAACTTTCTGATTTAAAACACGATTACTTTTGTCAATATTGTACAATGTACGAACTTCTATTCAAAATAGTTACATTGCATATTTCTAAAGCTTACATTTTAAATCTTATGATTTTATAGATTCTAGTTTCGCATGTTTTTTTTCTGCAGGTCAAACAATTTGAGAACAAGACTGTTCGACTACGGGTAAGTTGAATACCTTTCAATAAACAATGAATTCAAAATTCAAAATCGATGAAAATGATGTAAAATGTAAAAATATTCAATATTTTTCTAGTTTTTCGATAAAATGTTATTGGAAAAACACCAATGATGTAAACGGTTGAGTGTGTAGTGTGGACATATCTGCTAAAATAAAAATGCGAAAACAAAGTCTATACTAGTCGTTTTAGAAACAAAACAAAAGAGTATGCAAATAATAGGATTGTGTAGGATGAATACAAAGGGGAAACACGACGTTTTTAATGTCAAAATTTTTTAATTTTAAACATACAAATGGCATTTTGAATTTATCAATTTGATAATGATGTTGTCCCAAAATTGATTTATGAAATCAAATTAATACTTTTTTAAGATAATAAAAAAATTTTATTTTTCATGATTTTTAATTATTTTATATTTCAGTGGGAGCCTGGTTTCAATGGAGGGTTCGATCAAGAGTTCATCTATAGAGTGAGAGAGGTGAGGTTTTTTTTACATATTTAAATGTTTTTTTTTATAAAAACGTCATTTGGATTTAGTGTTTTAGAATAAAACAAAGGATTTTGTACCTTCTTCAATGTTTTTGAAACTCTGAATCTACAATTCTTAAATATTCAGCCCAAGTAGTTTTGTTTATAATAGCGAGCTTATCCATAGCATTTCAAAATTACATACAAACATCAAAAGTTGTGAGATATTCCTTAAATGTAGTCAAAAGAATGAAGACTTTGCCACAAACTCAAATGCTCTAATAATATCTCTTTGTAACCTGATCGTGTTTTAACCTTTGATATTTCTATTCGAATTATAGCATGAAATATCTAGGGTCTACGCCATTGGGTTGCAAAAATATGGGGATTAGAAAAAGAGAGTTTGTGGCATAGCCTCAAATTCATAGTTTTTAATTCGAAATGCTAAAATCGAAATGTTGAGCAAAATATTTATCTTTTTTCTAACGTTGTACAGATACCCGAGAAATAAAGCTAGATCTGGTTCAAGATTTATTTTCGTAGATTAACAAGACAAAACTTTCTTCTTCAACTTTACAAAAGAAATACGCGCTCATTCTTCAACAATTTATCTTGAAGATGAATCTAACACTAGCTGGGTTGAATAACTATCCAAAGAACAAAACTTTTCCCGGGATCAATGCTTTGATGAGAAACCAATGTTCCCCTATTAAAATCAATTTACTAAACACGCAAAGTTGATTACCGTGGTTCTACCAAGTTCCCCAGTATGTCTAAATTTTAGGCAAACCTGTCAAAGGTTTCTTAAGTCACGATCGGACATCTATACATTACAAGCATATCAACAGAGATTACTACTTTATATATCTCATATATTCAACATTGTATCAATTATCAACTATTAAATTAGGGTCTATAATAACTATGGTCGAGATCAAACATTTAGCATATAAATTTTTTTTTTGTTAATTAAAATGTGTGCACATTTGTGCAGGGGAAATTTAAACATAGCAATAGAAAGTAAAATTCAATTTCATGCCAAATTTTGACCTGAAAAACTCAAGATATTTGCACCAAAACAAAAACTGGAGCTTTATGATGATTGAGTTAAAAATTGAAATTTTTTGAATCACGACTAGACATGACTTAGGTCTAAAACAGGGAAAGTAAAGTATGTACTTGCCTGCGAAGATCAAGAAAAGCTAAAGCATAAAATTTTCAGTTTTCCCAAATAATTATTTTCAGAAAGGACTCAATTTTTCTTTAATTGGAAGAAAAAAAATCCTTTACACATCATTTTGGGAACAAAAATTAGATTTTAGGCCAATTTTCTCTTTTTTTAATTTTTCGTTTCCTTCTTTTCATTTTTTTTCATTTTCTTCTTTTTTTGTCTCAGATATTGTGTGCCTACTATGCCTCCCCCTTCGGGGGTGAAAAGGGGGACGTGCCTGATTTTTAGCATCAATATTGCTTTTAACGCGATTTTTTAGCTTAAAATTTCAAATATTGGCAAAGAACTACTCGATTTTTGTGTGAGAATGGGTGTTAAATCAGAGGTCTTGATTTAAAGTTATTAAGTTAGGAGTCCGTCTTTAACCGCTAATTGCAGATATTTTGTATTTGATTCAAAATTCTATTTGTTGTACTTAATATTTTGACAAGGGTGTATACATGCAATATATTTAGATGTCGTCTTTTTTACAGCGAGCTATTTCGGAAGAAAAACATATTTAGCACCATTTTATAGCACCAAGAAAGCACAGTGGTTTCGGGATAATCTAAATATATAAATAGATTCTAACAGCCAAATAGCAGAGGGCGTCGGCATTACGCCTAAACCTTGATTTAGCCAGAGTAGCGTGATGAAAAGTCCTTTTTAAAGAGCTTTCAATGAAAAAGTGGGTTTTAGTAAGAAATTCTTAACTAAAACATAACATTTAAACAACTTAGAGACTACTCTCAAAAAAAATTCTTAAGCGGTCAAGCCTAATTTGACAGAAAAAAGAGGTTTATGAAATAATCTCATTTTCATTTTTATTTTGTTAGGTTTCCTCCGATAAAGTGATCTATGAAGGCAAAGCTCGGCATGAAGAAATGGGTCCTCATAAACAATTCATAGAACAGGTTATTTTTATAAAGTATTTATATCTGAGGTGTATATTTTCTTTGAAAATCATTCCCCCCACACCCTCCCCTCTTTTGAAAAATGATCTTTTTCTGAAATTAGGTATGGTTGCTGCAGAGCGAACATTTTTTCTTCCGGGTTTTATTCTCTGAATTAAGTAAATAAATGATTTTTAGGAGGAAAAAGTAAAATTTTGGGTAAAAAGTAAAATTTTGGGTGAAAAGTATTAAATTTATGAACAAATTTGCCCAATTGATTATGATGTCCAATTTTGAATTTTTTCCCCCCAGAGATCATCAAAAAAAAATTTTCCCTTTAGCTAGCTCCATCCGGGTCTTGAAAGGATATTCCTCTAATTTGTATGTAATAGAAACCAAGATGAAAATACGGAATATCGAATAAGAATTATATTATTCCTTAAAGGGAGTGACCGGCAATGTATGGTAGTTGAACTGAGAATGTAGTATAGTGGAGAGTTTTTTAAGGATTCATTAGAGACATATAAAACATTTTAGTGATGTATAATTATTTAGTTTGAGCGCAAAGCTGACTTTCAAAATCATCCATTTAAGTTGTTATGTTTTGAGAATCGATTTATTTTAAAATTATTAAATAACGACGTAGAAAAGTGTATCAAAAATTCTACAGTAAACTTATTCCTTGTTTAGGAACATATTTTTAATAGAGATTTGTCAATGAATCGAAGTTAGAATCATTAATTTCTTTTTCAAAATAATATTGAATTTCTTATTCTTTACGAATTTGTTCGCAGATTTTTGCAAAATAATTACAGAAAATATACAGAAAATGTTGGTGAACAATGGGAGATTACAGAAACTAATAACTGAATAAGATAACTTATTTTCGATGATAAGAGTTATTTTTTATTTTCTCAACCTGTTCCTGAACAACTAATTAATTTACTGTAGAATTTTTGTTGCATTTTTGTCGTCGTTATTTGATCATTTAAAAAAAACTATTCTTTAAACGTAACCACCCAAATTAATGATTTTGAAAGTCGACTTCGCTCTCGAACTCAGTAATAATACATCATTACACGTTTTATATGTCTGAAATATATCCTGAAAAATTTCTCCACAATACCACATTCTCAGTTTAACTACCGTACATTGCCGTTCACTCCCTTTAAGATGGAGATCAATTCTGTAATCCGAGATTCAGAACAGTTCTAGCTTCTTAGAATGCTAAGTTATATGTGGAAAAATAACAGTAGAATAATGCATTACTTTATTTACTTTTTACTCAGGTTTGTAAAATGTTGGTAATTTTATTATAACCGTTAATAAATAATTGTGTACAATTTTAAACTTGATAAAATATTTGAAGAAAAAGGTAGCCAATATTCAAATTCATCGAAAACAAAAACCTATTTAGAAAAATAAATATAAATGAAAAGCTTTCAACTTTCACTTGAAGACAAATGAATTAGATCCCACTGAGGTTTTTCCTTTTCTCTTGAAAAACACTATCTTCCCTCAACATTTATCCTTTTGTTCCTCCCTACATATATAAATGTTCCACTCTCGGGTAAAAAGAGAAATATAAACGTGTGAAGAAATGTGTTAAATTGATTTTCTAGTTTGGAAAAGTGATTAAAACATTAAGAAACTTTTCAACAGTTTTATTTTATTTCTTTTCTCAAAGTGCAGGCGGTTTGTGAAAGAGAAGATTGACTAGATGTTTGCAAATATTTGTTTTGTTCAGTTTTCTTTTGTACTATGATTCATTAGAAGATCAGCTGACGTTTCTTTGACGACGGAATTTTGACAAATCGACTTTTATCCAACACAGTTTTCTCAATTACTGTTATTTGAATGTTCTTGGAGTATTATTTTATAATTCCTCAATTGTTTCTGAGGTTGAAAAGTCTTGAATTCAAAATTAAAAATAATTAGCTTTTAAAAAGAAAAGCATAATTCATACTTAAGCAGACAAAGATTTTGAAAAGGGTACTATTGTGAATGGAATATGCCACTTTATGAATATGAACTTCATATAAATGTACTTTCTATATATTTCTGAAAAATATATCTGAAAAAATGAAAAATGAAACAAAAATGTAATTGCAGATATTCAAGAGGAAGTTGGTTGGGATTAAAATTATTGTCATATCTTTCTGCATATCAAAACTTTATAATGAGAGAGAAAATAGAATATACAATAAAAATTGCAAAAATGTAAAACAAGAATCTAATTTCAGTTGTTTGAAGTTAAATTATGTCTAATGTGGCTCCGGTTTATGTTTAATTTGGGCCAGCTGTGGGGGGCTTAGGACACGTTGTTTGAAGTTAAATTATGTCTAATGTGGCTCCGGTTTATGTTTAAGTTGGGCCAGCTGTAGGGGGCTTAGGACACCGTTTTTGTGGGAAAATTAAAGCTATAATCATTCTTTTTGTAGTCACAGAGACATCAATTTAAGCTTGCATTAAACCTTAATTTGATTTAATTAAAATCGTTGAAAATTGGAAAAATCAACAAACAAATTTGAATCTGTTAAAATTGGTGCATTTTCAAAACTAACAAAAAACAACAAGTTTTGAGTTGTCACAAAAAAGTTGGGCCTGACTGGTTCAGCCGTTCTCAAGTTTATTTTAAAAAAAACCAAGTCAGCCAAGCAAAGTATATAATAAATAGTTTGTCGATGGTATTAAATTTTTTGTTTCCTAGGTTTGTTAGAGTCACGAATCATTCTTGGCAGGAGAGCTCCCCCCCCCCCCTCCCCAAGTCTCACCCACCCTAGCTTCCCCTCCTCAAGTCTCCTGCCCTTCCCCTTCCCGGTGCTAATTCCCCCTTCCTCCTCCTTTAACTCCCCCCCCCTCCATAGAAAGCGCATTTTATTGTTTCTATGACAAATTATTCAGCCTAGCGTGGGTCTATTTTTAGATTTGATTTAAAATATTATTCAAATATAATCTAACTTGTATATTTGCATCCCTCCCCCCCCTCTAAGCTAAAAAATGTTGACCATATCACAATTTACTCAGTTACTTATTTGAAAAGCCTCTTAAAAAGATCAAGTAACAACATGGGTCACATGTTAATATTTGTCAAAAATTAAAACAAACCATTTTTCAACGTTTGTCCACGTACTTTTTGAACTTTTTTAACACGTTTCCTAAGGTAAAAATTTGAATTAGTATAATTCAGAATGAAAACTAAAAATGTACAGAAGCAAATGTGTGTAGAAACCTTTTCCTAAATTTTTAAAATAAATATGATTTTAACCAAAACTTCACTTTAAAAGCATTTATATTTCTCAGGAATATGATTTTAAAATAATCCTACATTCAAGAGTGGATTAAAGATCCATTCGCTGGTACTATTTGGGATTTAAATTTTTGTAGAAAAGAAATCAGCAAGTAACTTTCGGTTTTACAGTCGACATTCTCAATTTATTTTAATTTTTTATGTGTACTTGGAAATTGATCATAAAATATACGAGTGCCTTACATTTTATTCTTAATATTAAACACAATAAATAATTTGAAATTTACACATATTTTGTTCTAAGTTACGAACAGAATTTTAGTATTCTTACAATTCAGTCCATCATTAAAAAAAAGTTTGTCAATTCTTATAATGGAGTTTCTAGCAAGCACTGTAACTAAAAATGCATTTTAAAATCTTCAATATTGCAGGATGCACTTCTAGTATGTAGTAAGGATAAGATTTACAATAGTGAATTAAGGTTTTATAAAATGGAAAATCAGTTTGTGGACTTGAATCTCTATCCCTCTTTCTTAAGTTATATCCCATCCTCATTCTATTACTTGCAGAAAATAAAAATAAAACAATAAATTTACTTAAAAGTTCGTTTTAAGTAAAAAAAAATATATAAAATACTTGCTTGGGAACCCAGCATTGTCTGGGAATTAAACTTTCTCTATAATAGACAGTTTAGAATGTTAAACCAAGATGAGACCATTCCCTTGGTTCTACCAAGTTTTTCTATTTAAACTTGAAGCAAATCGATCAAAGGGTTCGCAAGTTATGATCGGAATTTCAAAAAAAAAAATGAATATGTATCTGCTAATTAAAACACAGTTCATTTTTACATTTTATTGCTGAACAATTTGTTTCGTGTTGGGCAGTATGAGTTGAAAATGAAAGTTTCGGTGGATTTTCCATATTTCATAATTCCAGTATTTAAATAATTAAAAATATTTTTTACATTTACATATTGAGAATTATGAACTTCAAGAGAGGAGGATAAGACTTGTTCAGGATTAACGGAGACATACGTTTTAAATGTTAAATATGTTACCGAAATAATTTACAATCAAAATGAGAGAAGCTGCGAAGTCACATAGTCGTACTAGTGATGTCGCATAAATTGTATCTCCTTCTAATTGGCTTGCAGTGGTCTAAATATTTCAAGCTGTAGAAACTGTTCAAGTTCAACATTTCTTATTTATTTTCTAAGCTTTCTATACAATACACTTTCTGTTCTTTCAGAAAACAATTTTGGAGAAAACGTTTCAAATATGTTAAAGTTGCACCTCCCTATTTTCTGATTTTTTAGTATATAATCTTGGAGAACCTGGGGGATTATGCATTCTCCATCAAGGCTAGAAACGTCCAGGGGGATTCAGCGTATTCAGTGGAACAGTTTGAATCTCTCAAAGGTAAGGGTTAATATTTCAACTTTATTAATTTACTCTTAAAATATCAGATTCAATTTTGTTAGCGCTATTTTGAAAAGTTTTATTGGTGCTATTTTGAAAACATTTTTTGCGCCATTTTGAAAATAATAAATTTTTCTTCGTAAAATCTATATTACACTATTTGCAGAAACATAATAATACGTAATATCATTTTCAAAAGTATTTCGAAATTGGTGTAATTGTCAATTGTTTGAGACATACCTAACAATGTTTTCAAATTTTGTTGGAAATTATGAACCGCAGAATGTTCAGGATGTCTCAAAAACATTTAAATCCCAAACATTCTGATCATGATTTCTAACAAATAGTTTTTATTTGAAATACTTGCGGTAGTTAGATATTACGAACAAAATGTTAAACTTGTTTACTAGCTAAAGTGCCCAGCGTTGCCCGTGATACTTTAAAAGATTGAATTTTGAAGAGAAAAATATAGACTTTTGAAAAAAAAATTCAATTGTGGAAAAACATATTTGTTTAGCCTATGTTACCCCTCGGGTACCCGTGGGTGTCCTCAGCCCATTCGGTTTAGCCGTTTGGCCAGATAAAGCTGACATTTATATGAGAGAAGAGCTTTCTTTTATACATAGATCTAACAATGTAAAATTTGTTTAGCTGCAGAGGTGCAAGGACATGAGGAGAATACACTTCCTAGAGTCGTCATTGTTGCAATAGGAAATTTTAATCAATAGAAATGAGAATAGTTTAATTAAATTTATTTTAAAGAAAATACCTACTTTGTCTTCCCTTTCTTAAACACGTATAGCTCTCTAGCTGTATAGATATAATTTCACGTGGATAATTATCTCTAAACGGGTTTAAAGAATATTTGAGTCTAAAATCCATAATTGTATTCAACCAAATTCTTTGTATATTTCTACGCTATATGGTAGATAAAATAGGGACGATTAATATTTGGGAGTTTAAATTAGTCTCTTGGGAACCTTCAAATCAAATAAAATCTTATTAACTTTACTGTAAAATAAGGTTATCATAATTACTTTTATAGTTATTATTATTGTTGTTATCAATATCATTAATATTTATTATTTTTATTATTATCATGATTATTATTATTATTATCATTATTACAATTATCAATAATATTATCACTAGTATATAATTCCAACCCTGGCCACCCAGTGCATTTCTAGAGATCTGTTTCCTGTGAATTGAGTATAAGGAGAATCCATGTTACAAATATGAATAGATTCTCATACATTCAGAGTTACCATCATTAACGTACATCAAGCAATCCTTTATATATACCATACCTTTCTTAACGTTTATTATTACTGAATTTTATACCAGAGAACCCTTTCTATGTTCAAATATGAAAGAGACTTTTGTTCAGATTGGTTGCTGAATATGATCTGTTTAAAACTTAGATTCTTGTACCAAATCTCATATATAATTTTTGGTATAACTTTGACACATTTTTATTTCAATTCCTCGAGACAGGAACATCAGATAGAACTATTATATGTCTCGATCAACTCCTAAAGTGTTTAGGTTTCAGCCTATACGCCCTTTCATTTTTCCTTAACAGTCCCTTTTGAATATTAAAAAAAAGCATGGTAAAATTATATAGAAACTCAGATTTCTTGGGGATTTTTTCTTTGAATGGGCGGCATGACAAACTATCCCATTCATACTTTCGCCACCGCATATTTTTCAATATTCATATTGCATACCTATATGAATAATATCTTAATATATTCTCAATCATCTATCTAACTTCTTCACTATACATTTACCACCTATTCACTAAAACTACCAAGCCGTAATTCTTTTTACTTTTCTGTGTATTGAGATGTTTATATCTTAACACTGGTATATATATATATATATATTATAAAATTCAGTTTTTTAGTTTCCCTTCTTGTGCAAAATTTCAACAACAACAAAACTCAACAACTCTTTCTTTTCAAGAATGTCCTTTAAACTAAATTTGAAATTCCTTTTTAAATCTTAAAAATGAAGAGATTACTTCCCATAATCACCATTTGCCATTTCTAAGTTGTATCTTTGGGTTTAGCAGAATTATAAAGTTTAAAAATTCAGGGGACAGTTTTAATGTTTTAACTGTTTAAATTTTTTTAATAGTTTTTACTGCGTAAATTAAATTAAATTAAACCACATTTTTCTTGGTTCAATTTCTTTTAACTTTATTCATAAAATATATTCTCTAGTGGAAAAGATGATTAGAAAATTCGAGTTTGTGACAGGTAATCAAGGAGCCATACTCCTTGCAGGTAATATTTCTCTTTTTTTAGACCGGCATAGCAGTGAAAGCTCCAGAAAATCTACAAATATGATGATAAACTATGCGACAACATTCGGAACAGATCTTTATCTCTCTCCTCCCTCTCAGAACAGTGGTTCATCATACTCAGATCAGGACAATTCTAAGGTACTAGGCATGTATGGTGCTTCTCGTATGCCCCTTTCCAGCAAACAACTTTAGCGTTAAAAGAAGCCATTTTCAACCCTCTTAAATTTTCCGTATTTTCTTTTTAAATTAGCACATTTAAAAAAAATGAATGCTTAACCATATTTATCCTGACGTCTGGTTTCATGCCTAGTTCCCGGGGGGGGGGGGTAAAATTGACCCCCCTATTTTCTTATTGTGATACAAATCTATAACATTTGATACGTTTTTGGGAATCCCTTGGGCTCCAATTTAATAATCAGCAAAAAAAATGGCAAATTCACAGAAATACAAATATTTAATGCGAAATCTAGTTATTAAGCAAAAAATGTGCAAAAAAAATTGTGCAAATTGCAACAAATTATAGATTTTTAAGAAGATTTTGACCCAGCAAACTCATTTCAAATCTGCAAAAACATTTGTAAAAATTGTGCAATCTGGTTGCTTTTGTTATAGACTTTCCAAAGAGCTATAAAATGTCGAAATCCAATGACTGGAAGTAGGTTTAAATATAGATTTAGTCTGGTATAGGTAAAATAAGGCATTTAGACAGTATGCCTGAGGACTCAGGCAGTAGGTGTAAAAGCCCAGATTTTAGCCTTAAGTGATTGGCATGTGTTTGTTAGAAAAGTCAGAAAATTTGAGCTTCCTAGCTCAAATACTTTTTGAGTTATGTTAAAAAACGATAGGGGGGGGTGTGTCAAATTGACCCCTCCCCCAGGGTTAATAGGGTTAAATTATTTCCAGCAACAGTTTTCCATCTTTGAAATCTGAAATCCTTCCCTGTGGCCATATGAGTTTAGTTACCATAACAAATTGAGTCAGCTCGGTTCAGCCGTGTTGACGTTTATAGGATACATACACCCTGACAGACAGACAAACACCGAGAGAGACAAGCCAAATATATATAAAATTGTATTAAATGATTTAATTTAAATCCTACAACCATAGCGAACATTTACATTCTACCGAAAATTATCAATGTTCCTTTAAAGCTTAAGTCTGAAACAAGCTAATGAAGTCTTCAAATCTAAGAATTTAAAAAAAAAAATAGATGATAAGGTCAGATTAAGAGAAAATGCATGGCGGCACTATAAAATTGGTCCACAAACTCAAGTTTTGAATAGAAAATTATGGATAATTTATTCTATTAAGGGCGACTTAACTCTATTAATTGCGAGTCTTTTGAAATTACGGACCCTTCAACAGAGAAATTTAATTTAATTCATAAACTAGTATTTAAGAAATGAGGTAGTACACTGGATCTATAGTGCCGGGTGCCAAATGTTTATTTGTATTTTACAGTCTTTCAGTCCGAGCCAGAACTTGTCTGTATCAAGTAAAGTTTATGCCTTTTGTCAATTTGTAAAGGGCATTAGTATAATTCACGTTTAATGTATTTTATTATAAACTAGCTAAAGTACCCGGCGTTGTTAGTGGAATTAAAAAAGTCGAGTTTTGAAAGAAAAAAATAGATGTTTTTAAGCCTATGTTACCCCCTGGGTACCCATGTGTTTTCTTAAAAATTTCAACCAATTTGGATCAGCCGTTTAGTCAGGTATAGCTAACATATATAAATGTATATATACGAGGAAAGAGCTTTATTATATTTAAGAAAAAAAAGTCTCATAGGCCCAGTTAAATTGTTTTTGCCTTAAAGAATTGAGTTTTATACGTATATTCATTACGAAAAATACCCCTCCCCCCCCCCGTATCTTTTTTATACAAAATTTTTTTTAACCCAAATCCTTCCAGAATCTGAAGTACTCATCTATATTATAAAACAAGACATTCGTATATATGTTGCGTATAGCCGGTCAAACGGCTGGACCGAATGGGCTGAAACTGGAGGGGGTTATAGGCTTTAAAAAAATAAAGATTATTTGTCTCAAAAAAAATAATTTAAAAAAATTACACGGGCAACGCCGGGCCCTTCAGCTAGTCTTATATAAACAAAGAAATATCGGAATTTTCCAACCTCTCACTTTTGTTTAAACCTGCAGTGTGGAGAATATTTTCAAGAATTATTTTTAATAAAATTTGATTATTTCCCCCCCCCCCCCAATTTGTTTTATATATTTAAGTATTAACTAGAAAATTAGATTTTTAAGAAAATTTAAACCCCTGGTTCAAATAACAGAGATACTATCTTTAAGCATTTATTCGAAGATTCTCTAGAATTTTTAGTTTTTATTAAAGAGACAAAACATAAAATTAAGCATATTTTTTCAAGTGCTAGATAAATTATACAAAATTCTTTGTCAAGCACTATTTATTTGTTTTAAACATTCAGGATTATAACATCACTTACGGTCTAAGAAGGTCTAAGTTTGTTTACATTCATAAACTGCAGTACACTTGTAATCAAGACTAAGCAAACTAAAATCAATAAAAAGAATTGATTTAAGTCTATTGTTTAAAGTTAAAATTTTTAAATTGGTTTTAAATAAAAACAAAAAATGCCTCAAAGTTTAAAGGCAAAATTAATTTACCTTAATTTCATAGTTCCTTAAATTAATATTGAAAATGTTCAAAGGCCAAACTATAAAATATTTATATATATATACATGATATATGTTTGATAAAACTTTTTGAATACAAGAAATTGTCTTTAAATATTTATCTAAAGCGTCTCTACTCTCAAACTTATCATTTGCTATTGAAGAGTCAATGGCAATAAAAATGTCTTTTTAAATGCATTGAAAGAAAGTCTTACCAAAACAGTTAAAAGCAAAATTTCTTTTTCATTTTATCTCTCATCTGAAATTGAAGAAGATTAAATTTGTGTTATTCGATATTATCTTTCAAGTGAAGTGTTTTCATTTTTATTTATTGCTAGATTCAGTTACAGTTTATCTATCTAAGGGGGGGGGGGGAGTTTACAATTATTTTTAACTTTATTAAGTTTTTGCCGATTTCGTAACATTTCTCATGGTTTTTTACTGTTAAATTTTACAAAAACTGCAAATAAAAGAAACGATTCTTTACGACAAACTCATATTTTTTAATCCCTAAATCTTTTCAACCCAAATGTCCATGAAGTTGCAAAGATATGAAGATTAGAGTTGTTTTTCCTTTTCTCATAATCTAAGCAATGATTATCTGGGAAATAAAATATATGGGATTTTGCATTTTTGGAAAATAATAAAGAAGTTGAGAATTTTTGTAACATTTCAAACTAGGGCTGGGCAACGTTCCGTTAACGAAACGGATTCGCCGTTTTTGAAACAAATAATGGTTAAAAAGGTTACCTAGTCAGCTAAAAACGATAAATTTCGTTCTTTTCTGATTAAAAAACGATAAATTTCATTCTTTTCTGATTAAAATTGCATGACATTTTTTATCAAATTTAAAAACTATACACAATTGATGTTTTTAAATGTCGTCTTCTGTGTTTATAAACCGTTAACAAAAATGTTTTCGCCGTTAACCCCGTTAATACTGTAAAAAACCGTTCACGGCTGTATCATTAACGGTTTTTAACCGTTAACTTTTTTTGGCGCTTCTTGCCATTAACGCCATTAATTTTGTAATAACGGTACCATTGACGGTACTACTGTTGAAAAGTTTCCGTTAACGCCGTTAATAAATTAATGAGACCGTAAACTAATGGTAATTTAAAAAAAACGGAAAATGCCATTAACGAAACGAACATTTCGTTCTTACCTTTAAAATTAACGGCTAACTAAAATATTTATATTTTAATGGTTTGAACTAACTGTTAACGGAACGACTAGAAAAAGTTGGAACGTGCCCAGTCCTAGTGAAATATTTTCGTCCTTGCGCCCTTTCGACGGTAGTGTGTGGGTAATAATAGTTTCCCCACAATATTTGTGATCCTGCAGTGCGCTATATAGAAGGTATACTACGGCTACTTACACATAAACAAAAGCAAACTAGAAAAATAAGAAAAAAGAAAAACATTGTGTAATATATAAATATATTATCCATAGGCACAGTGTTTCGTTTTATTAGGACAAACCCTGATATGATTGGGTATTAATGAAATAGGAACCAGAGAGCTCAACCAACTCATTTTAAGTTGAGGGCCTTATATAGATATATAAGATGTTTAAAGAATTTTGACTACTGAGACGTGTTTAGTATAATTCTTTTTTTTTTAAATAATGTGAAGTTAAAAAACTGATATATATATATATATTTTCATTTAAACAAATCAATTTATTATTCAAACAAAAGATTTCTATCCTAATACACGATGTTTCAAGGACTCGAATAAATTTGTTCTGCTATGATAAGTCAAAGTTTAAGTTTCAATTTGATTTCATAGTTTTGTGTTATATACACTGAACTACAGTGAAACCCTTAATAACGAATACATCAGAAAATTTATCAAATGTCGTCTTGACAATTTTTCAATGAGTTTTATACTATATTACGTAAATTTCAGTATTTGCGAAATAAATAAATAGCCATGAATATGCAGGAACAGTTTTAAAGAGTTCCATATAATCATTTAATTAAAAAACTAAATATCTGCAACATTCCATTATCAGAAAGTGAAGATTACGACATTTGATGAATTCTTTCGATGTATTCGTTATTAAGGATTTCACTGTATAAAATATTTTAATAATAATGCAGGCAGAGTTCATTAATATTTAGAGAAAAGAACGATTAAATAAGATTTGTTGAACATTTAAACAATATAGTTTCTTTAGCTTAGGATGTTTAGAAATACGTTTAATTTTTAAATTTGTAAAGATCATGTATTTCATGCATAAGGATATTAGAAGTTTCATAAAAAATTCAAGTTTTTCGTCGTAAAAAGTTCATGAAAGCTTAAAATCTTGATGCACTATCCTTCCTTTTGTAAGCTCCCAGCAGAATATGGACAAGATGAAAGGGTTTCTTCTTTTATTTCTTTTAGAAACTGAATGCATGAATACCAATGTAGGACTTTTGTAGATATATGCCTAGACTGCTGGAATCTTATTGAGTTATAATATACATTTTTACAACGGATTTATTATCGCTTCAATTATTTATAGGTTGACAGATATTTTGGAAGATTTTTAAAGGAGAAAGGAAATGAGTTTTTGCCACAAACTCTGATTTTCGAACACCTATATCCTTCGCAACATTATGTCGCAGACCTTTGATATTTCAAACTCTGAATTATGTTAGAGCAAATAGTCAAAGTTTGAAATATCAAAGGTTTACACCATCATATTCCACAGATCTAGGAGTTAGAAAATTTGAGTTTGTGGCAAAAACTCACTTCCTTTTTATGAAATGTAACAGACGATTTTTACCAATATCTCGCCAAAATTGGATTGAGTGTTTTTATGGAATTGAACAATAGTTTACTAAATATCAAAGGAACTGAGTTTTTGTCACAAACTCTACTAATTTCTATCCTCTATATCTTTGCTACCCAATGTCGTAGACCTTTGATATTTCAAACTATGAATTCTGTTAGACCAAATAATCTAAGTTTGAAATATCAAAGGTTTACATCATCAGATTGTAAAGTATAAAGGGATTAGACAATTTAAGTTTGTGACAAAAACTCAATTCCTTTATAATCACCTGATGCTTTAGACTTCCGATATTTCAAACTAAAAATTATCTGTAAGTTAGGATTTCTTCCAACGGTGTGGCTAGAATTATTTAAGTTTAAGTTGAGTTTTGGATTGGTTTTATTGGGAGTTCCAAGTTTATTGGGTTCTAAACTGCAATATTAAACACCGTTCTGTACGACTATATAAAGCGATATTATTTGGTTCAAAAATGTTAAAAGAAGAAATTCTCTGTCGGAGGCTGTAGATTAAAGTTTTCCAGCTTAAATAGACGGTTGTGCATATATTGTTTACCAATGTAAAGAAATCGCGCAAACATTTAGTATGTTTGAAAGTTAATGCATGATATTTACGATTTCGTAACAAATTACATTAATCGTTTACGCTTCATTCTATTGACGGGCAATCAAAAATCCAACTACAAATGTATCAGTATTTAGCTTATACTTTGAAACCAAGGATATTATACATACACCACATGTTGTAGTTAGGAAATATCAGAAATGTACATGCCTTAAGGCCTACAGAAAAGTTAGAAATGTAAAAAAAGTTTAATAAGGTCAAAGTGTTGCCATTTTTTAAAGTCGACCCAGTCTCACAAATTAATAAAACTTTTCGTAACTCTCTGGATCTTGGAAAAATAATTGTTTAATGAATTTTTTTGGAACTTAGTGAATTTATAATGATAACACATTGTCTTTCATTATGATACGCAGAGGGATACAAATGTTTTATTTTATAAAATGTTTAAAAAATAAAACAATTTTTGTTCCATATTTGAAACTTTTTCTTCTTTACAGCCCTACACCTATTGAAGCTTAATCCTGGGATTAACATGAAGATTATAGGATTTAGAGTTTGAAAGTAGTTGGACTTAACAGCTTTTAAATTTGCAAATTTTACATTTTAAAATGGGTTTAGATTTAGGGAGAGCAATTTTCAAGAGGAGAGTGGGACAATCTGGTCTTAATGTAGATAGAATACATTTATTTCTGACCGATAAATAAGAAGCTTAAATAGACGAGCGTTAAATGTTGTCCATATTAAAAAAAAAAACAATCAATCTTATAAATTTTCTAAACCAGCTCCAAAAATGTAATATGTGTTGATGCATTCTGCATTCTTTTCACAAACCATATTTTTTATATATTGTTAGAAAAGTGATCGGTTGGTCAATATTATAATATTAAATCCACACAGATTTTCTTTATCCAGTGTGAGCCCCTCAATTCCGTATACTAGTTAGATAAATATATTAAAAAGACAAGACAAGACAAGACAAGACAAGACAAGACAAGACAAGACAAGACAAGACAAGACAAGACAAGACAAGAC